GCACAAAATGTGCTGGTGGCTCTGGACATATTTCTGCCCTGTGCCTCAGTTTTCCACCAGTGAAACGGTCATAGTAGTAAAACTGACCTTTTTTATAGTGCTTTGTGTTCAAGAGAAGAAGGAATTGGGTGTTATTACTTCCACAAATGATTCATTGCTTTAGGAAAATTCCTCTTCTGAGGAGGTTGTTGGGGCCACAGGCTGGTGGCCAAAGGCAGGAGCAGAGCGGGAGATGCAGCCCTGAGCAGGTACCCAGCCAGTGCCCGGAGCAGTGACTGCAGCAGGGACAAGCTCCAGGATGGTGCTGGAGTAGTGACCATGACATGCAGACAGCTGAGTCTTCTTGCCCATCCCAGAGGCCATTTCAGCAGAGGCCATTTCAGGCAGTGCAAAGCTGCAAAATTCAGAACAACTGGAGTGGTAAAGTTTATGTGTAAAATACAGAAGAAATTAATTTCTATAGAAAAAGCTTGGGAAAGGAACACAACTTCTCTCTTTATACATCTTAATGATATAACTCAAATAAGTTACGTGGATATATATAGTGCTTCACTGCACATTGACTTGTAGTCACTTGATGTTCTATGTTTCTAAATGAGTAAACTCATTTTTGAAGTAGTTAAGAGTTTTAGAAAGCACCGTGAAGGATTGAAATGCATCACTAAGAACAGGCTTGCAAATGTTGCTCTCCTCATTAATACTAATTTTGAAATAAAATCTCTCGCCTAAAAGTTTCTTTCAAGTGTTTCAACATTGGGCTTTAGAGGGTGGAAAAGAGAATGTTTTGTCCCCACAATTTCAGTTTCACTTTTTCTTATTTGTACTCATGTCTTTATTCAAGAGCGGTATAGTGATCTGTCTTTTCCTGGTAAAGAGAGGCAGATCTGTCTCTCCAGCTTCCTTTGGGTGAAGGGGGAAGTTAGTTTCCTGTACTACAAACCTCCCGATTCCTGAAGGTGAGGGATTGCCCTTTCCTGTGCTCTCTCTGCAGTTTCAGACAGCTGCTGCATTGGTGCCATCCTCGCCAATCACAAGATCAACAGGTTAATGTTCAGGGATTAGAGCTTCATGCCCTCTCACCCTATACCTCATAAATATTCCTACCGATGCCCCAAACTACATGTGTCTGACACTGGGGCTGGGGACATTATTTTGGTAACTTTTTAAAGATGTTTTTCAACAGAGCTGCTTAGGAAAGAAATACCATGAAGTCTTTGGCAAAACGTCTTTTGAGGAGAATGTGAAGAGACATATTGAAACAATGATCAGAATGTTAATCTTCTAGGGGTGTGATCATCTGGGCTATGTAGGGGCTTTTCTGCTCACTAGTTCCACAGCAGCCTGTTGCATGGACTGCTGGGAAGCTACGCTGCCTAGGCCAATTGCTTGATGACTGCTCTTTTTGTTTTCTGCCCCTTTGTTACCCTGGAACAGTTCTGTCCAGGAGTGTTTTCTAGCAGAAGCTTGTTGCACCTGAAAATCTGTTACCAGTTCAGCTTTTCAGGAGTGAATGACTACAAGAATGAACAAATGACATACTGAAATGGGCAAATCGACCTCCAACCATATAAGTTACAAGATACGTGACGTTACTTTTTGTTCAGAGATGTCGTAGACATGGTTTCTGCTTGTGAGCTAATATGTAGAGAATATTTGGCATGGTTTGTTCTGAGAGAATTTGAATTAAATTTACAGAACAGAACATCCAAGAACTGCTAAAGACTCATGCATAAACAGACGTGGCTCCAAACTGCTGTCAATACCGATGGCTTTCCTCTCACTACTCCTGTCCAGCATTAACAGTGCCTTTCTCGAGTCCACTGTGGAAGTGGATTAGGCTAAACAGCCAAAAGGCACTCCTAATGCAGAATAAGAGCGTCCACACAGTGAGTTAATGCCAAGTAGCTAATGCATTCTACATTCACACCCTCACTTATTTTGCAACAGCTTCCCTGTGTAGGCAAGCCCTACATGTTCATGTCATTTGATGGTTAGCATTGCATCAGTGACATTCCAGATTCTGACCACAATGTTAGTAATGGAAAGTGGTTCATCTTCTAATGAAATGGTAGGCTTTTTTTTTTTTTTCTCGTTGCATCTTTTGCAACTTTTTCTTTCATGTGTCTGGAATGAATTTCTTAATTTTTTAAATGTGTGTGATATTCTTCTAATCTCTGATATACAAAATGATGCTCTCTAAGCATGGAAATTGCCTTTATATGGTATACTGTACGAAGCACTGATTGTTCAGCCTTTTTTCTTCTGAAGAGCAGGAGAAAATCCAAGTAATAAAAACGTTCTTTACATGTATTTGCAATTTAGTAGCTTGTGTCTGATACATTTTTTCCTTGTAAGATATTCCAGTTTTTGTCTTGCTTTCCTCCTACTGTGGCATCCCTAACACTTCCGCTCTATTGTCGCATGCCTGGCACACTTTCATGTAGACCTAGAGTTTCCTGGTCATTTAAGTAATCTGTTTATCAGTTAGGTTTATTTTCAGCAAGCCTTTGGTATTTAATTTGCTTCTAAGGTTTGCACGCCACTGTGGGAGACGATAGTTAAGATGGAAGAATATGGCCTTCTTAGATTTTCCAGAAATAGTGGCTCCTCTGAGCTTAACGATGAGCCTTCATGACATCTTTTTAGGTAAGCTTCATCTCCCCCAGGAGCTTCTTCAGATCTAGTCCAGACTGCAGTGATGAGGAAACTTCTGTTGAAATGTCATCCACAGACTTTGAAGTGTGGATTTCTCATGTTTGTTTGCAGTAACAGAGGGAGCAAGAAAGCTGCCTCTGTGTGTTCGCCTACCAAACTGTTCAAGTTGCATGGTTTATAATCAAAGATATCTTTTCAGTTCACATTTCTAGGGACACAGCTCCCACTGCACAACAGTCTGAATTTCCCAAAATCTAAAGGCAAAGATGATGTCTTAACTTTTCACTTCAAATAGTGTATGAGTTGATGGTTTCACAGGGCACCTCTGGAGTTTGGTTTGGTTTTTTTCGAGGTGGGATTTGTAGTCACATTTTATTTATTAATACATTAAACAGTAATTGTATCTAGCTTCAAGCGTCTTTCCGTCTCCTTCACTTACATTTCTGTAACATGTGTCCCATAACATTTCCATCAAATCATGAAGTCTCTCTTCATTTTAAGGTCATTCTGGAAAACTGGCTTCAACGAGCTCTACCCTGTAGTGAAAGGATAAAATAGGAACAGTATTTCCATTTGGAATACTGTATTGTAAAAGGCCTGTAGCTTAGTGGGACCAAATACTGTAAAATATGCAAGTGCTGTGAATTTGATGGCATTAAAGGAGTTTTTAGAGGATTGTTGCTTAGTGCAGGATACTGTCCTTTCCTTCCCTGCTCTTATTATGTAAAGGAACTAACAATTTGCTGATTTGTTCATCTAATTTGTCTTTCACACTCCAGGAAAATCAGAATGGCTTATATTTACAGGATTGCCATTTCATTTTGGATTGACCAAATGCATGTCTGTGTACTTCTTACATGTGTAAAACAGGGCACATACAAGGGACTTGTCAGTAAATTACCAGCAAATTGCTTGGCCTGGGCAGGAGCAAGTAAATTTGCAATTGCAATCTGGAGCAACGTGTTAAGAGGCCACCTTCCTTAGATCAACTTGTGTATTGCAACAGCAGCAAGTAATCAAATTGTACTGTACTTTAATGCAAAGCCTAGTTTGGCTTGGTTGGCAAATTAAACTATCGCATGCCTCTGGCAAAAGCAGAAAGCCTTTGAACTGTTTGACTGCAGCTGTAGCTTGCACACCTTATTTTCCCTCTTAAAAATCAAATTAAACTGTAACCTGCAGCCTCTGCGGTAAGTTTCAAGGAAAATTAAACTGTTGCAAATCTTTCTAACAAAGATAACTGTCTCTAATCAAGCTGAAAAGTCCAGGCCCAAATTCCCCTTTCCAAGTTTAGACAAATTCATTGGAGGAAAACTCCAGGGCTTATTAAGTACAAAGATATTACCTCTGACTCAGGAAGTCCTTGGCCACAAATTGCTAGAGACTGGGAAAGTTTGCCAGGAAGGTATTACTTTCTGCTTCCCCTCTTCTTTCACTCCTCCTACAGCATTTACTGCGGATCCGTCCCGGGGGCAGGACGCTGGACAGTTGTTGTAGTCTGCTTCTCTGGATCTGAAGTCTAACCCAAATTCAGAGCACTAATGGGCATGCTGACCCACTCTTAAGCATTGCTCATGGTGGTCTCAGCAGTGTGTTTCGTGGAAAGCAGTGTTTGGGCTCATTCCCTCCTTTAGACTTGTCCTCACCCCATGCTAGCAGTGCCCCAGACTCCTTCTGACTCTCAGAATACAACTCTTGGATGTGATGATGTCCTTCACCTCCCCCACCTTTCATTATTTTCTGTGTCCTGCTGGCAGGAACTCTTGGCGTTTGACTTGCCCTCATAACATTCATGTTTTTCTTGGAGCTCTCAGAGGTAGGATTTTTCCCAGCCTGGATGAGTTGCTGTTATTTCTATTGAGAGTCAGCAGTACAATAGACCCTCTTGGGAGCCAAGACCTTGTCTGTCTAGTGGCTCAGGTTTACAAAGACTCAATCCTGCATGCTTAACATTGCCCTTTGATTTGCGGGATTAGTGTCTGACTGATGGCAGGTGAGAAGGCAGAACAGCGCAGCACAAAAGGAAAGAAATCAATAAGTTTACATTGCAACATGTACTCGCTCCTGGCCACGTTAGAGAAACAGGAATTGGGTAGAGGATGTTGTTGGCACTGGAAGCAGCGAGCAGACAGCAGTCTGTGGCAATGACAATGGAGAGGATCTTTCCTCTAATGCTTTTTTAATATGTATACTACCCATGCTTAATATAATTCACAATATAGCAGTTAATGTCTCCGCACTACGGATTTCTTATTTTTAAAAGTTGGCTTAAAAGTTCTCGGTCTCTCTCCGCAGAGTAGGTAAAATCTGAGCTAAGGCATATTAGTCACATTTTTATCAAGAGATGAAAGTGATAGAGATATAAAGTACTACCAGCTTTTAATTAAAATTGAATAAGTAAAAAACAGTTGGCAGTTGCAAAATTCATTACGATGTGTTACCAAAAATAGATACCTTTATGAGAATGCAGTTTTATTACAACAGTGGGCACTAATTAGCTGTAAACATTATTGCTGAGATAGCCAGATAGAAAACGGGTTACTAATACTCGTAACAGGTTTCAATTGGCTGGAATGGAAAACTAGAAACTCTTAAGGCTCTTAAAATATAATCTCTCAGACTACCAAAATAGATGTATGTACTTCTGTTACTTAAGGCAACATCTGAATTTCAGGAACAATAACTTAGTGTTTTCTGCATCTGGTTTTAATTTGCAAGGAAAACTCAATTTTACAAAAATGTAACCTGACTTAGCTGAAATATGTATGACCTGGTGTTCTTATTTCTTCTTTCTGTAGAATAGTCAGACTTGCAAGTTAGATCCTCCAATTTTTTGTACATTTCATTTGGTAAAAAATACCTTTGACCTTAATAAAAACATCTTCCAGTATGAGTTTACAGGTAGAGATCTATGGTTTAGAGCATCTTACTGACCAGTTTGGGATGTATGTGTGTCTTGCGTAATCTCTGCAAAATTTATTGTAATTGAAAAAAGTTATTTTCCTCTCTCCTCCTGTAATCTAGAACATCAAGCAATAACAACAAATCTGTGGGTGGTTTATCTGATTTATGCTAATTTGCTATTGACATGTTTGAGGTATCACTTGCATCATGCCAGTCTTGCATATTTATTATGAAAAATATTAGCTGCTTATGAAAAGCTAATATTTTAAATAATTATTCATTTGTGCTGTGATAACCTCTTGAAACCAGGGCCCCATGCTGGTAGACTGTGTACAAAATCATTGCAAATGAAGTGCAACCTGAAGTATTTAAGATAAGCTTGCAGCAAGAGGACAATTTGAATCCAGGAAGATTAGTATATCCCACCCACAAGGAATGGGTCTCAACTCATGGAATTTCAACCATTAAACACAAGGCACCTAAATCACCTCCAAAGCCAGTACAAGAAAGAGGTAAACCCAGCCTGTGATTTAGTTCACATAATTTAGAGACCTAAGGCCTTGAGGGGAGACTCAAGCACCGGTACCCAAGCTTGTGCTCATATTTTCAAACTTGGATGCTTCAACATAGTCTCCTAAATTCTTGTGTTGTTACCTAAGTAAGCACACACAGAAGTGATGAGTGAAGTGGTGACTCCTTAGCAAAGTCAGAAGGTGCTGCGCAAGGTGAACATTCTTCCAGAAGAGGCCACTTACTTGCCTAACTTGGAGCGCTGAGCTTTAAAAGTAAAATCAGAGGCACAAGCCCCACATTTTAAAACTTTACCCACCTTCCTTGGCATCTACATATTGATTAAAAAAAAAATCATCCTTTGTAAACAATCACCTGTCCTAGATCTTGCTAGTACTGCTGCATTCTAACTTCATTGACGGATGAGATGCACTGGTACGCTGGAACTACGTGCCAAGTTCATGAGCTGAAACAAAGTGCAACTCAGCAGGAAAGATTAGACCTGCAATATGTAAAAATTTGCAGGTACATGAATTTAAGGAAATTCTGAATCTCTTGTTCTTTGTTGGCATTACTTGTGGGAAAAAAACCAATATGATATTTAAATAAAGCAGCCCATGCCAAAGCTGGCAGCTACCAATATTTGCAATATTGTTTAGCCTTGCTGTCTCAGTGGGATTTCACCCATTGGAAAGATTAGACCTGCAATATGTAAAAATTTGCAGGTACATGAATTTAAGGAAATTCTGAATCTCTTGTTCTTTGTTGGCATTACTTGTGGGAAAAAAACCAATATGATATTTAAATAAAGCAGCCCATGCCAAAGCTGGCAGCTACCAATATTTGCAATATTGTTTAGCCTTGCTGTCTCAGTGGGATTTCACCCATTGCTTTGTATTTCAAAAGCTTCATTAAAAAACCCCACTTTTTCCCCCAAAAATTGTATTTTCTTCAAAACACTATGTGTTTATGATAGAATAAACCTTATATATGAGCAATCTAAGAATAATATGTGACAGAAATACCCTTGATGCTTGCCTGAGTATTGCCTAAGTATTTGCAGGAGTACCTGGGTCAGAAACATTCCTTAATGCTTGGAAAACTCTTGGTATATTGGAATGGAGAGAAGGGCAAGCTCTGTTAAGGAGGAAGGAAAAATATGCAAATAAAACCGGCATACCGAAAGGTGCTGTGGTGGAACGATGGCTGCAATACTGATGCCAAGAGTACCTCAACCAGAGATGTGCTGGTCCACGTGCTCAGTCTAGACTGGGTGTGAGAGATTGTGATTGCTCCAGGAGTGATCTCTGCTGTTATCATCCGGAAGGTGATGGTATTATACAGGCATGCGGGACTGACCATAAGTTAGGAAACACTGGTCCTTAACAGATGTGGAAGATTGAATACCAGGGATGCAAAGATGCAAAGATCGGCTGATAGTGTACAATAGCAGCAAAGGGAACCAAGGCTGAGACTTTGTAGAAGGCAAATTATGAAGTAACTTTAAACGCTCTGTGTTCACTTGTGTTTCTCACTGCCCCCTTGGTAGTCAAAGCCAACACAGGCCACTGAAGGATTTAATCCTCTCCGAACCCTGTGTTGCTACATTGCAAACTAGCGTGTGCAGCTAGAGAGAAAAAATGTTCTGTTCAGTTTGGGACACGTTGAGGACTACACCCCAGGGCACTGCTGCAAAAACATTGCAGAACTACCTCAAAGGAATGGAAAGTTATGACAGGTGTTAGGTTTGCTATTATTACCAGATAAGATTTAAAGATAAACAAATGCATTGAACTAAAAGCCTAGATTCACAATAATAGACTGAAGTTAGGAAAAGATAAAACAACATGTATACCTTTATTAAGGTTATACTTAGCAATATATATCCTCCTTAGCTGCTCCTGTGTCTCAGCTTTTGACTCTGGCTAATTAGTTTCTGCATGGAACCCTGGGCTGGCGTGCCCCTGGGTACGCAGAGTTGCTTACACCTTGCCTTCTTCTTCTGGTAAAGGTGGGGACCTGCATCTTCTCTAGCTCAAGGTGGATTTCTTCTTGTTTGTCTGCCCCTCATTCCCTGGCATTGGGCCATCAGGTGTTTTCTGGGAAATTTCAGTATTTTGTTCTGCCCCTCCTCCTTAAGGTTACTTCAATAACGTTTCTATCGTCCATCTCAAATAACACTTTCTTGGCTTTTGTTTTTCACTAATTATAGTCTTGTTAAAATATAGCCGCATCACTTTACAAATGATGCATTATGGTAAATAGTACAAATTCCTTTTGAAGTATATACTGTGTATACAGGCTATATAGCAAGCCCATTTATGACATTCAAACACAAACTGATCTTGAGGGTAGGACTGCCAAATCTGCAAAAGCTCCACCTCATCTTTTGTTATATTTTGGGGACTCACCTGCATGTTACTGTTTTTTTGTGAACTTGAACAGAGAATACCAAAGGCTTTGCATATATTCAGGCCAGCTTGCTTTTCTTCCCAGCCCTTCTTTCTAGCATTGGCTATAAATAGACACACACACACACACACAAAAAAGTGGTTACCATTTAAAAATCCACATTTTCTGACAGAGACGGTATTTTTTGCAGTATCTTGTTCAGGGAATGGTACAGAAATGTGTTGTGGAATCTTAGATATCACTGTGAGAGAATGCTTGGCAAATGCTGGATTTTATGTGCTTGTTTTAAGTATTGGCTATCTATATTAAATATTAAATGAAAATTGTCTTGTTTCCCATTATAGTCTGTCATCAGTCAGGTAATGATAATGAGGCCATTGAACAAATCGATGAAGATATAGCTGTGACTCAGAGTCAGATGAACTTTATTTGTCCCATTACACAGGTATGCGCTTACTGCTACTATAATCGATTGGGAAATAGTTACTTCATATTCTTCATTGGATTGTTTATTACAAATATGCAATACCTGTTAAAAATCAGGCAGTATAAATTACAAGCATTATCAGAGAAGAGCAACATTGCTTGGGAAAAAACCCCACGTAAGTAGGAATGCAGTTTACCGTGCAGGACCTGACCCTGTAATTTGAGTGGAATGCCATGTATGAATGGCAAACACACTTCCTGCTGTTTTACATGAAATCTCATAAGAAGCATTTTCATGGGTATTATCAGTTCCTTTAAATCAAACCTTATTGATTACAGATGGAAATGAAGAGGCCAGTTCGAAACAAAGTCTGTGGACATACTTATGAAGAAGACGCCATTCTAAAAATTATCCAGACTCGAAAGCAGCAAAAGAAAAAAGTCCGGTAAGCTAACAAGAGTGTGTGGAAAAGCTATTTGCTTTGCTGTGTAAGTGGAATTTTACTCCACTTGTTCTAGGAAATGTATTTGGATTGGCAAGGCTGCAGGAAGTAATACCTCGGTGTCTGCCCAAGTCACAGTCTCCTCATTAGTACTGTACACGTGAAGGAGCTTTTCTTTTTAATGAAAACAATGTGTAAGGAAATATTCAGGAAACGTGTGGGGAAGTTACAGCTACTTGTGGTACCTGCACGACAGAAGCAAAGAGATTTTGTACAGCCATGAACAACAAAGAGAAACTTCAGCTTCCTAAAATTTAGTTGCTCATTTTTTTCCCACTGCTTATTTAGCAAGCCCTGAAGTTAATGAGGAAAAAAAAAAGCCTCCTCTGTGCACCCTCTTTTGCAGTCATATTCCAGTGCAACTGAGAAACATTAAAACACTTAAATGAGTGTTAAAGTGAGAAATATTAAACCACAACTTTTTAGGTAGTACAGAGTTTAAGAATGATCAGACAGAGCTTTAAGAATGATCAGACAAGATTGTGCAGCTCCTACTATGATGCGATTAAATAATTCTTACTTTATATCATCAAAGCGGCCTGCCACTTTCTACACAGGACATTTTTTTTTGAATGAAAAGATGTAACAGTTGAATTTTTAAACCTGAAATTCTCCCCGGTTGGTTTCAAATTTAGGATGGTTTTGATTTAAAAAAAAAAAAAAAAAAGGAAGAAAAGGGGCTCAAACACTTTTTAGAGCAAGTTTAGAGGACATATCATTCCATCATTAATTTCACATTTGTTTTTACACCATATATGCTAAAGCCTTATGCTTTGGGGTTGATGACCTCATGGAAACTTACCAATTGTGGACTTTTTAATAAACGTGCAGTTTGCACATGCTCAGGAAGGTCTGTCAGAGACTAGCAACCTGATTTCTCCAAAGATAGTGCCACAGACAGCTTACTTCCTCCATCCGTTGCTCTTGCGTTTCTGTTAGACTCTACATACTCCGCCATGGGGATACAAAGGTGGAGAGGGACTTTGTATTCCATGCTCCTTCCTGGCTACAGGAAAGCACTGCTGTGAAATTAAGCATCGATTGGGATGTCCAGCCACTACCTTAGTGCCAAGACAGCTTGAAGAACAAGACAGAATTACCTTGCCTGTGTTATGAGGTCTAGGGAGAAAAAGTGGAGTGGGTGCAATATACTGGGAATAACAACAAAACCAGCAACATGGATGGACAGAAACTTGGCTGGAAAAATGAACGGGAGTTGGGAAATAGCTCACAAGTTGGAGAGAAGAAAACGAACGTTCTGGAGGATAGAGACAGGCTAGAAAGTTTGCTCAATAGCCCAAAACCATGACAAAAATACCTTCTGCAATACGGAACTGAATTTAGGATGTTCATATCTAAATAATTCTCTGTGTTGTTAAATCCGTCAGGAAAATGTCATGGTAGTAGAGACTGTTGTGGTGAATCAAAAGTTTCACCGCTCCTGAAAAACTAATAGGGTCACATGATGGAATTTTTATTTTACCTTTTAAGAAATTAAACACTTAGAGAAAATATAGAGGAAAAAAAAATCATGTAAACTGTACAACATTTAGCTTTAAAAGCTACCTTATACCCAAACTGAAGTTATTTGTGCAGTCTCAATCCTGGCAGTCTTTAATTTTGAGCTTTTAACTTGCAACCTTACCATTTTTACAGGAGTTATTCCAGTATGCTAGAAAAGCACAAGCTCCACAATAACTCGGCTTCTCTGTAACTAAGTTAAGAAAGACTGCTTAGTTTTCTGTGCCCAGTCTCACTGACCTGCTGTAATTTTAACCTTTCTCGTGATAATGCAGTCAGTTTTGAAAAGCCATAGTCTGCTGTGGTGGGAAGACAGGCCAGTTGATGCAACAAGTTCCCCGTTTGAGTACCCTGTTCTTGTGGGGTTGCTACTTGACTGTGCTCCTGCCAGCAATATTCAAGTGGAAGCAGGTATCTTGATAGAGAGAATCGTGGAACTCTCTGTCCTGACTCTGAAATCAAAGTTGTTGCTCACTCCGGAGTTACAGAAGTGGCTGTTTCCTCACACGTACCTTCTGGCTTGAATCTATGGGATCCCTTTGGTGCACTTGGCAGTGCACTGGCTGAATGCCAGCTCTTCAGCTGACGTACGCACAGCCACCGGTTTTGTGCTGATAGACTCGCCATAGACTCCTTTAGGCAACTCTTACGTGTCTCGGTTTGCTCACTATTTTCCACTGCCTGGAAGGACATACTAATACTTTATGCTTACAGGAAATGTGGGAAGCTTTCTGAGCACTTGTTATTCATTAATCTGGCAAGCCATTGCTTTAATAAGGTGATAAATGGGAAAACTGAGGCACAGAGCAATTAAGTGACTTATCCATGACAAAAACAGTAAGCTGTGGACAAATCTGGAGTAAAAGCCGTGAGTACTGAGTGTAAATAAGTTCAGCACCTCAAACAAAAGTTACTCCTAATAGAGGAAAATTTCAGGAAAAGTGTTATTTCTGAATATAGGTACCATCTGTGCATGTTTGGGCCACTGCCAAAGGAAAATGACCTTTGGTCCCTGAATATCTTTCACCCTGCTGTCTTCATCTGGCTGTTTCAAGTAGTTGTAAGACATTTTGTACTTGATTATCATTTAGAGGCTGTTAATTTGACCCCATCTCTCCTTTCTGTGCTTTCTCAGTTCATAAAAGGACAGGTAAATTTTTACACCAACTAAATAGTCCACTGATTCACAGGTCAGCTTTTGCAAGTCTTGTTCTCTTTTGTCTATTTCCCTATAAATTAATTTCCCTATTTTTCTATCAGTGAAGATTATACTTCTGCACTGCAGATTAATAAGGTAAGAGGTTACCTACAGTTTGTAGAGGACTGCAAAGAGAGAAAGCAACACAAAGATGCAATGCTAGTATAATTACTGATGCAGGCAGCTTGTGTACATGAAGCAAGAGAGTGATCTACAGGTGAGAGGCTCCGTCTCTCGCTGTGTTCCTTCCTTTCTTCAGCTGTTGATTCCCACCAGTTTAGATAAATGGATTTATTTTTCCTCACAGAGAGCTGGTAAAGAGAGAAACAGGTAACGAGGAACTGACAGACAGAATGAATCCCAGATAAATACAATAAACTAGCAGATGTTATGTAAAAGCCTATATCTGACAAATACAATTTTTCTGATTTAATGGAGTCTCTCTTTTCTTTTTAACAGATGCCCTAAAATTGGCTGTAGCCATGCTGATGTAAAAGGATCAGATCTTGTGCCAGATGAAGTACTTAAAAGAGCGATTGACAGTCAGAATAAAAAAAGCTGGTCAACACTGGAGAAGTCAGCTGGATATGCTGATGCCACAAAGAAAATTTGTTGTTAGAGGTCTTGTGAGATAAGCTGCTGATTGTAAGTAGGTTGTGTAACTGATTGTTATTTAAAGTGTTTCATTTATAGGCAAAGTTGAAGGTCTCAGCTGTAACTGAAAGCATTTTTTAAACTGCCGAATATGAGGAATTCCAGTTTAACTTGTTTTTTTTAACCTTCCTGCAATTCTAAAAGCTTGCATTTGATAAATAAAACGTGTTTTGCAGCATTTAACCTTCCTTGTCAGTGTGCTAATTTTTTCAGCATAATAGAGATGCAGGTTCTGGTGGCAAGTAATAGCGAGCGCCTTGCTCAATATTGCAGATAGTTCTGTTAGTGTCTCTGTAACTTCTGGGAATACTCGGAGTAGGGCACTCTGACCAAGGATTTACCCAAGTCATATATCCTGCTTGAGAGCATGTCCGTGTTTTAATACAAACCTCACAAAACTTTAATAGAACTTAATTTGCAGGAAGGGCTGCACATCTGTACCTTGTGTGCGGACACACAAAATTACCACTCACCTTTGACGATCTCGGCCTCGTTCTCATAATTATTGAACACTCTCCCCTAACTTACGCTTTTCTTTTGAGATTCAAAAGCTTTTATTTCAGGCTTTTTGCGTTTGGAAGTCCCAGGGGGCTTTACCTTAATACTGTAGGTTAGGAGACTACAATTATTTACAAATTTATTCCAATAACTAATTTGTAGATAATACAAATACATTGTAACCATATGCCTTGAACTGAAAAGCAGTTAATCTCATTTTGTATAAGCTTCAGATACCTATGCATTTGGGCACAGATCCAAAAAAGGACTAAAACTTTGTGACACTCCACACTTATTACCTAAATTCATCTGAACACCTCTACCAGATAAGGCACTACATATATGAATTAGAAATAGCCGTAGGTAAAAGGAGCTGCCTTGGTGGTCAGATGGCAATTATCTCTTGGCATATGTGAAGCAGAAAATACAGGTTTCTTTGAGCTTTGGGATCCTTAGCGGGTTAGATGGTATTTTCCTAGGTCATTTTTCTGAATTTAAAATCTGACATTTAGTCTAAAATGTAGCTAAGATACCTAAATGCCAAGCTTTTCACTCTGGGTTACTATTTGCTAACAGCTTTCCTTTCGTAGACCATTATTAACCCCAATTGCACTTAAGAGTGCAAACCACTTCAAACTGAAATTGTTATTTTGTAATTGAAGAATATTAATGTGCAAGCTGATTTCATAGCTAGAAAAGGGAACTGAACCATTATTATTTGCACTGAGCTTTTGTGTTCAAAACACTTCATGGGAATTAGCTGGGTAATTTTCATAATGTGGTCTAACCCCAAAGGTCCATCTTTTCAAAACTGAGCAGTGATCATGAGTGCTTCTGTCTGTGGAAGCCCAGCTGAGATAGCTGAAAGAGACTGGAGGGTGGTTGAGCAGTATGTACTTGTTTGTATTTTTGTGTGTAAAAATCAGGTCCCTTTTAAGACATCTCAGGTCTCAAACCTATAGTTTTTAAGATGGGTCACCGATTTTCAGTTAAATACCCTCAAGGGAGGATGTTAACTATAGCATTTGTCAAAAAAAAAAAAGGTGGGGGGAGGGAATGTCCTAAACTGTTCATAGCTTTTTGTTTCATCTTTAAGTTTGTGGTTAAATTTACTCCAGCGCCAAATTTACTAAGCAGAACACTCAGAAACAGAAACTTGCGTTAGTTAAACAATCTCTGCAGTTTCTGACAGAGGTGCATTAATGTTGTCCTCATGGATCTAATTCAATCCCTAGTGGTAATCAGTCTCCCAAGTTTTCAGATGCAAAGATGTACATACATTTTACATGGCCACAGTGTCACACCTCAAATTTAGTTCATGTAGGTGTCTGGATGCTTGAGTGTGCCTTCCAATAACACATAACATTATAAATACTAAATTATACCCAGATTAATTCATACCGACAAGCTGGTGGCAGCAGGTTTGGTTTGCTATGTGTGGTGTTTGTACCAGTATACCCTTAGATAGCTACAGTTCCTGATAAGGTCATTACCCTCATGTTCCAATGAGTAATGCTATAAGGGAGATTGCTGTCTTGGTTACACCTTGTTGTCATAAGTTAAAGAGAGAGGCTTGACCCATAGCAGTGCTGATGGCCCTACTGGAAGCTACACTCAATCTGTCTCTGCGTTAGCTAATCCACAGGTAATAATGTGAACGGCCTGCTTAAGATGATGCAGCTGGGAGAAAAAACAAACAAATCTGAAGCAACACTTTAAATGAAGAGAACAAATAGTCAAGCACTCACTTATTGCCACTCTAAGTAGAAAGGCATATTTGAATGTTCACATTCCTGCCTCAAAATACATAATCTTCCTTCTCTCCTTTGCTGGCTGAGCCAGGCAGCATCAGTGAATCAGAGAGCCTGAACAGCAAGTGTAGGTGCAGCCTAAATTCTGAAATCCTTCCCAGTCTTCAGCTGAAAGAAATGGACCGATTTTTGGCAGCACTTACCTGCTTAGCTTTAATAACAATCAATATGAGATGAAGAGGCATGTGTATTTAAATAGAGGTAGGTTTCTTTCTTTTATCATCAGAGATACCTCTTTTCAAGTATGGCCACAGTCATATTATCCAGAAAAAGACACATACTCATGCACTTATGTCAGGATTGCTGATGAGAGTAACTGAGTCCCATCAAAATCAGTGATGCACCGCATAGATTCAACTGCTAGAGAAAACTGCCTGTATTTACTGAAATCAGTTAAGTTCTCCCCAAAATGTTTGGCATTTCTGGATTTAAACTATATCATAACAGCCAAGGAATCCTAGTACAGTGAGTGAAATTTTGTTTTCTCTGAACCTGGAATTTGAGCCATCCTATTGATTTTTCATGGCTGGTTCTCTCTTGTTGTTGGTTCTTACAAGTAATTTTCCTTCTGAAATTGAAAGATTACAGGCTTGGTCATCAGCATGAATTGCAGCTGGCACTTTACTGGGTGGAAGGACAGACTAGCCTTGGGAATTGGGGAAGGCTTCTGTGCCTGTCAACTGACCTGATGGAAGTTATAAACTGCTACTGGTTCCTTGGGGTGGCTGTAGTTACTGGCAGCTCTTTGCTCTTTCATTTGTGAAGTTTGAGGTTTGTTATGCAGTTGTGACCTCTCTGTTCCCATGTGTCCCATGTCCCCCATAAACTCCGCTCTGGATAGAAGCAGCTTGAAACAGTTAAAGAATAAAAATAAGTGTCTGTGATGAATAAGCTGATCTGTATGATTCACAGAAGTGGAAACTCAACAGCAGTTAAACCTTCAAATCTTAATCTGTTTTGGCTATAAGATATCATATGTAAACAGGCATATGTTAACAGTTCACAGGGTAATTTGTGTCTCATTGTTTGACGTCAGAAATTTCGCAACAACATTTAAGGAAAGAAACTCAGAGGTGAGGTGGTTTTTTTCTTTTCCATAAGGGGTGCTTTACAAATGCAGCAAACCTCAATGTAGCTGATAAGGGTCTGTCACTGGTGAGAATCTGTCTCCGCCAGAGAATAGAAGTTCCACATAGTATTTTGAGTGACTAAAGAAACGTCTAATCAAACATTAAAATAAAGGCAAGAGAGATCTATATGCACCAGCTTTCAGTGGTACCCTGAGGCACGAGCCATTAACACAGCTCTTTCACTTGAACAGATTCTCCCTGTGAAGCAGAATTCTCCATTTTATAACTAGAGACTCTGAAGTTTTCAAATCAGTGGAGCCATGACGTGTAAAGATAAAAACTAATCAGGCAGGCATCTCATGGAAGATTTAGCACACTTGTGCTAAAAGGAGTGCACATTCCTCTGAATCAAGGACATATTCATCATTACTGCTCCGGAGCTGTGATCTTATTCATTCTAGAAGAATCAAAAAGACTAGGCTAAGTCAGTGCTCCCTTGAGAAATACCCGGAGCAAAAGCAGGGGCTGCAGGAAGTGATACCGATGACTCAACAGCCAAGGCCAACACACTGCCTTATTTTAGACAATGTCCTCTTGGACATCATCATGTTTCCTCATGAGTGGCTGATGACAAAGGTCTTACCTACCTGTGGTCACAAGTACCTCATGACGTTTTTCTCAAGAATACCTCTAGTATTGTGGCCAAAACTAGCTTAGAATTCACTGTGCAACTTGATTAACTTCCACTGCCATTTCAAGTGAATGTTAATCTCCACCTTCCCTAAAAATCTCCGTGTATGGATCCTGAGGTACTGTGTGGTCCATTAACTGAACATTTGCATAATGGGTAGTGTTCTGTTATACAGTGAAGAAGATGCACCTAGAAAAGGGGCTTCCTGGAGTGGAAAATGTTAGAATATCCCAAGGACAGGTCTTTCCCTTGCTACAGCCAAAGCCTTAAGCTGATGGCTCCTCACTACAAGTACAGACTAGTACTGACTGCAAATTCCAAGTCTTCCATAAATAATGATTTATTTTCTGGTCATAAAGTACTTACTGTTAATACATATTATTTCAAACGCACGACGTGGTCACAGCAACGCTCAGAGGAGAATCCTATGTGTAGGTGCCAGCGGATTCTAGGCTGCCAGCCAGTAACTATAAGAAGTAAAAACATTAGATTGATTGTTAAGCAAGTAAAATCCTGGGATGTGTGTACATCATACAGTAGTTACCCATGTATGTGCTTAGCCTCTTGATGCATGAGTAATCTCAGCGACTTAACAGGACTGCAGCAACATACAGAAAACACAGTGTGTTTCATGATTTCAAAATGCTGCAGAAAATGCTGCGGTGGGCTAAGAAGAGAGCCTGCCTCACTCGCTTATTCTGATGTTAGTCCAAACCCGAACACAGAGCTTGAAAGCACGCACATGAATTGAATTGCATGGGAAGCTTACCAAAGGAAGTGTTTGCTTGTAAACTCAGTATGAATAGGATCTTCTCTGACCGCAAGGGAAATGGAGAGACGCTCATTCACTGTCCGCTTGTGCAATCAACTTCTGAAGTAAAAACAGGATTTGAGGTTTAAAACCTGAACCTTCACATGTCTTTCAAGCAACAGAAGAAGCCTTCATGCTCTTTAGTCCGCAAAGGAACAAAGTCAGGAGGTGCTGCTCATGAGACTCCTTGGATTTGATAACAACTGGCTTATCAAAAGGGAATTATTTAGAGATCCTAGCAACAGCAACCCTCAGAGCAGCTTCTGTGCAGGCTTGAGGGGAGACATCTGAACACCATTACATTTCACT